GAGAGAAAAGAATACTGACAAGTTTAACGTTGATACTTCTTTATTTGATGTTCCAATAAACCCCAGTTCTGTTTTTCAAGATCACGCGCCTCCGGTGTTTGTGTCTGGTAAGTCTGAGGTAATCACTGAACCCTCACAAATACCCTCTTGATTTAAAGGGAAATGTCTTCTATAGGAGGCTTTCACACTGACATGAGACACTTAACTTTTCATGTAGCTAATTTTATCAGGCTTTCATGTCTAGTCCATCGTAACTGGATGTGTCAACAGTTTTGTAGCATCACTTTGTGATAAAATCTTCCTGTTTGGCGCACAGTATACCAGTTTTAATTGGGATTATTCCACTATTCATGGAACTGGGAAAGTAATGTTTAAAAATGCACATCACTTGGAATCTTCACTTAGCCAACTTCCAAATAATTTGATACTGATTGAACAACAATTATCAGACTAACTACTGCCTTTAACATGCCTTAAAAACACACAAATCATTCCTGTGTTTCCTTTATTTTGACAAATAAGCTTCAGGAAACTGAAGTTGCCTGGCTAGCACTTCATTATGACAGCTGAGCATTGTCTTCTATACAAATGCCAGAACTGATTTATCTGTGGGGTTGTAGCCTATGTTTTGATATACTGTACCTAACATATATGAGAGGAGAGAAGTGTTATATGTACATTGTTTTTTTCATGCAATCTCAGCTTTGTCTTAAGGCAGTGGTTCTTAGCCTTGGGTTCTCCAGGTGTCTTGACTTCAGGAATCCTTAGCCGTTGGCCCTTGACTGATATCATGCTATAGCCGGGGATTTTGGCACTTGAAACTCAAGATGGTCTGTAGGACCAAAAATGGAGAACTGCTTTCTGACACATATGTTTGTGTCTCCTGTGCCTGATAATTTGCTTCCATGGGTATATCATCAAATCTGAACTGACCTATGGGGGGCATTATAGCTCTCAAGATAAGTAAGGTATTTATGGAGTGGTTTCACCACTTCTAGTCCCCATGAGCTTCCATGGGTAATTGAGAATTCAAACCCAGTTCTCCTGAGTCCTTGTGCGTCAATCTATCCTTTATGCCAAGGATTCCCAAACTGTGCACTGTGGCGCCATGGGGTGCCTGGAAACCAAGCCAGGAGGTGCCATAAGAAAAGGCAAGAAACATAGAGCTATGAGGGCTGTAGAGGAGCTGTTCATACCTCTGTGTCAAATCATGTGCCTGCCTCTCTTTGAGGCTACATGGTCCCCATGTGCCTGCCTCTCCTCTACGGTCCCTGGTGGAGGTGTTTGACAGGTGGCCTTCTGAGTTTCCTGTGTAAGAATCTGGAAGGAAGTGGGTTCTTGGGGATACTGGGGGTGGTGGTGAAGAGATGGGATAGCTGGGGAGGGGGTGTCAGGATCCTGCCCCTGGTGGCAGTGAGACCCTTGATGGCCCCGTTGAGCAAGGGGAGCCATGACCAGTGGTTAGTAAATCAAGAGGCACGTGTCCAAAATGTTTGGGAACCACTGCTCTATATCACTCTGGGTATCATAATTTCTAGGAATGGCTGAACAGAAATACACAGTGTGTGAACACAAAAGGTAATCGTGCCAAAATACAGTTTGTTTTTATTGTAGTACAACCACCCATTGCACATGCCACTGTCTTTGCTCTAGTGTTTGCATAAAGGATTATTTGCTTTATTGTTTGCATAAAGGGGTATTTATGTGTCCCTTGTGCACATAGAAGCCTAATAGTGATCAATGGGGTGATTTCTGGGTTGTGTAACTACATGTTGGAGATAGCAGTGAGAATGTTGCCTGTTGAAGCTATTGTGTGGTTTACAGAATTCGTCACCAATAGATATGTGGCCATCATATATCATCTAGGTCAGTGGTCCCCAACCTTGGGCCTCCAGATGTTCTTGGACTAGAACTCCCAGAAGCCTTCACCTCCACCTCTGCTGGCCAGGATTTCTGGGAGTTGAGGTCCAGGAACATCTGGAGGCCCAAGGTTGGGGACCACTGACCTAGATGACATATGATGCCCACGTATCTATTGGTGACTCATCAAGCTCACACATTCCATCTTGGAGGCTGTGCTTAACTGCAGATGTCAGTGGCTTAAGAGAGTGAGCAAACGGTATTGGATGTTCATGCTTCTTTCATCCCTCTTCATTTTGCTATCCATCCTAATGACCTTTATTGGAAAACTTTTTGTCATACTTTTTGGAACATTTAAAACTGATCCTGATAAAAGTATTGCTTGCCTGTGGATTTTGGTTTATTTCGGTTGGCCAGCCAATGCTTTTTTTTTATTTTTTGGAATTAATATGCGTATGCCATTGAGTCTTTGACATGAGTGCCATGATTGCACGGGGCAGAATTCTGTGAAAAATCACATCAGTAATAAAACTGAGGTTACCACCCTTTGAAATCCGTTGTTGAGAAATGGAGATGGTTTGTTGTTATTGAGAAAAAGTCCCCATGTTCTTACTCTTAGACTTAGGTAAAGCTTAGTTAAGGAGCAGTGTGCCTGTTCCTTTGTGTATGCCTTGTCTGGAGAAGAAAATGACAGGTTATTTCAAAATAGCAACTGAGAATAGTACACACATTTTCTGAGAGTGAGAAGGGAACAAAATATATGGAATCTGTTTGAAAGAACAGGAAATTCAGGTGTGAAAAAAGGCTGTTGAAGGAGGAGGTATAAAAGTTGGACAAGGTAATATAATAACCGAGGGGAACAGTAAGAGAATAAGATGACCAAGATCATGAAGAACCTAGGACAAGATCAACATGTTTTTCTTAGAAGCCAGGCTAGAGTCTGGTTGGACATAAATGAGCTGAATACCAAGATTAACAGTTCTGGTACTATAATGAGGGTTGTGATGTGAACAACGTAAGTATGTGTACTAATCAAAGTAAGAAATCACCAATGTAGAAGATCTTAAGTATTAGGCTAGTTTTAACTAGATATATAAATGAATTTTGCTTAATAAATCTGCTTGCTACTTCTTGTCTCTGGTGACATGTATTGCTATTGGGAAAATGTGCTTTAGAATGCACCATTCCCATAGAAAGGTTGACAGGTATAGACAATTGATTTTGTTCCTCCTTGTTTGTTCACGTACTATGTAGTTGTATTATCTGTCACTGTTTGAAGAATTTTGCCAGCTATCATGTTTTCAAATGCTCATTGCTTTGAATATTGCAGAAACTAGAAAATTGATGTGATGTTCCTTCTTCCGTAGTGACCAAGACATATGTTGCTTTTCCTGTAAGCAATCTTCTCCCCATCCAGTTTTGCTTGCATCTGTTGCTGTAAGAATGGATGGCTGAAGTTGATGAAAGGGCATTATCATCTTGAGATACTCCCTTGTCCATCATCTCAGCTGTCTTGTCAAATGTGGCAATATAGCTAGTTTCTTGAAAAGTCTCTCTTTTTAGTTGTACCCCAGTAATGAGACTGTTGTGGTCTCATTGTCAATCTGGCATGACATATTACTGCTGCTGTTGATGCCGTCAGGCCTAATGGTCTTTGAATTGCTGAAGAGGAAACACACGTCCTCATTGCTGAGTGGATATCTGGGTTGTTTTTACCTGGTAGATATATCCTCTCTGTAACTGAATTGAGAACAGCACCTATATAGCCAACTGTTAAATAAGGTATCAGATTAGACTATTTTAAGTTTACTTTCAGACCAGTATCTGAGAGGATTTGAAGAGTAAACCATCCAATTCTATTTCCTGTTACCTGGATTAATTATTTTACTAAATTTTTCTCCATCACATCCTCATGTTCTTCTTCAGTACACATATCACAAGACCTTCCCGAGTGGTCCCCAGTCACCTCTGAAGAGATCCTCGAACTAATTATCTCACTTAAGCCAGGCAAAGCTCCTGGACCCGATCTCATTTTTAATGATATCTTGACCATAAACCCTCATTGGTGGGCAGAGCCCTTAGCTACTCTTTTTACCTTGATAAATCACTCTGGCTGTTTTCCAAACTCCTGGTTATCTTCCATATTTATACCTATTCATAAAAAAGACAATCCCTCTCAACCCTCAAATTATCGCCCAATAAGCTTATTATTCAATATTGGAAAATTATATTCTAAATATCTCTTGAAAAAACTCTC